GTCAAAAGATAAAGATAGACAGATAGATGAATAGTTAGGTGTGTGTCTGCGTGTGTCTGTACTGAAATACTGAAAAGCTTTGTAGTTTATTGTGACATAATTGCAGTTTTTAAAATTCAGAGATTTTCACAAAAATACCACAAGGGGGAGGCATTTCTTTTGAATGTACTCAGCACGATTTCCCTGACTGCAGAAATCATGTGTAGGAAACTTCTAAACAGCGTGTTTCTTTACCTTCGTAAGACTTCAGCAACAATGATGAATGTAATCTACATAAATCTTGAACAAGATACACTTTCATAATAGGAGTATGTAAGTATTTGCTTTCATAGCACTTACATTCACTGTTAACACTGCAGCTGATACCTTGCCACGTGGCTAAGGAAGGTTGGGGGGAGCCTTTCTAAAAGCAATGTATTATTTTGTAATCAGCTGTACACCTCTCTTGCACTTTACATAATAAAATGGCAGTATGGTTAGTTTTCAGCATTGTATTTGAAGGGTTACTACACTAAGTGATTATGTTGCATGAGTACCCTGACCCAGTTCCAGTACATGCCTAATACATACTTACACACACACTGCACATTACATTCACACCCATGCACACATACTACCTAATGCATACATCCATACACACATACTGCATAATATATCCCTCCTTTGGAGGGTTTCCGGTGTTCATAGGCAGGGGCTACCTAGTCACTTTGCGGCTTTCCCTGCCTGCGGAAAGTATTAAATTCTGCTCAGTTGCTGGAGTTACAGTAAACCTTGTTACCTGGGCAGATAATCGGATGGAGACATCAAGGCAGAGAAAACCCAGATGAGGAAATTGCTACGCTGGGCTGTGGCTAAGGAGCCGCTTGCCAAGCTCTGCATAGAACTGACATTAGCTGGCTGGTGACACCCTATGACTCTGCCAAAGGTGAAGTTAAACCTCCGACAGCAGAGGGGTTAATTTCTGTTTCAAACAGTGGCGTACACACAACCCATGGGGCCCCGGTGCAAAACTGATCCATGCCCCGCCCCCTCGCCACCGACACACACACACAAAGAGACAGACAGATACATACAGACACATACATACAAAGACACTTACATACAAACAGACAGGCACACATACATACAGACACAGACAGAAAGACACACACACACGACAAATACATACAAACAGACAGGCACACATACATACAGACAAGACACACATACATACAAACAAACAGTCAGACACATACAGACAGACACACATACACACACACACAGACACACAGACAGACACACACACATACAAAAAGACAGACACACAAAACATACATACAGACAGATAGACACAGAAACACACATACATACAAACAATCACACACACATAATATTTAAGTCATCCTCCTGTTTCTTACCTTTTAGGTGCAGGAGTTTTTTTTCCCCTGGGGTCCAGTGGTAGCTCAGGTTGATGGGAGTCAGAGATCCCACTCTGACTCCCTCTGCTTCCTCCTGCACGGGCTCTCAGTGATAGCTGGGAGGAGTGACCAGGGCAGTCACTTCCTCCCAGCATGTGATGATCTCGTTACAGGGGGCCCGGTCGCGCTGTTAAAGCGCCGCAGCGCTGACCGGGACCCCTGAAAATCCATCTCCATCGGGTGGCCCTGACAGCATGGCACCTTAGCATGCGGCCCGGCGGTTTGCCGCACGGCATGGAAATGGTGATGGCGGGCAATCGGGCGCAGGGGTCTGCAGGGTAGCCGGGCCCCCTGGAGTGACGGGCCCGATCGCAGCTGCGACCGCTATATGTACGCCAGTGGTTTCAAAGCAAAACAGTGCACGTACAGACTGCAGGCACCATGACCACTTCAAATCACTGAACTAATTAAAGGAAAACTGTTATTTCTGTATTGAAATGATATTGTGGCATAGAGTAGTTTAGAGTTGCAATTAATGAGTAGGATATATAAACGGAGATTAGGGACAATTGTGACAAGCCTGCTAAACCCAGAATGATTTGGCAGGAAAGTTCGCCATGGATATACCTTAGAACTTAATCCTCCTAAACTTAAAGTACCTATAGGTTAATTTCAGTCCACCTCCCTTTGTGTTTAAAAAAGTAAATAAAATAAAGATTAGACATGTACATGGGGAGAACATTAGTTTTGTTTCGATTCAGAACTGTAACATTCGGATTCGGAACAAAACTAAATTAAGCAAAAATATTAGAAACATCCGTAATTCGGATATCCGTCATTCACTAAAGCGGACTGTTAAGTAGATAACTATATATATATATATATATATATATATATATATATGTTGGATTTCCATTTAAAGGATACCAAATTAGGGAGCTATCTACTAAACACAACAGCTCCTTAATTTGGTACCCTTATGTGGTATTGCTTTATTTAAAGGGAAACTATAATGTCAGCTGGCGGGTGGGATCTAGTGCGCATGCGCAGTGAATGCCATGCTCGCATTAGGAACTCCCCCATAGGAAAGCATTGTATTATATTTTCCTATAGGATTTTGGGTGACGCTGGATGTATGCATGAGGACGTCCAGGGTCACTTAGGCTACCAAAAGTTACCTAACCACCCACAAGTCCCTCTAATTGCTGTCTAGTAAACAGCCACTACAGGTAGAGTTAACCTCCAAGGCAATTATTGCAGTTTCACAAAAACTGCAGTAATCGCCATTGCAGAATAAGGGACCTTGGACACTGCACCCAGACCATTTGAATGAACTGAAGTGGTCTGGGTGCCTAGTGTCCCTTTTAGATTGAGGTGTTGCCTTAGATCTCAATCCGATTGAGTATCTGCGTGATGTTCTGGAAGGAATCCGATCCCTGGAGGCCCTACCTTGCAACTTGCAGGACTTAAAGGATATGCTACAAGTGTCTTGGTGTAGGGATGTGCATGGGAAAAATATTCGGTTCGGCATTTCCGAAATTTGGGACTTCGGTAGTTCGGAACTTCGGCACTTTGTCAAATTCGGAACTTCAGGATTTCTGCACTTCGGAACTTCGGCACATTGGTACCTCGGCACTTCGGACATTCGGAAGCAACCGAATGTCCGAATTGCCGAAATTACTCTGAATTTACATTCGGAACGAAACGAATTGCACATGTCTATCTTGGTGCCATATATCACAGGACACATTCAGAGGTCCATGCCTCTGTGCATCAGAACTGTTTTATCAGCACAGGTTGGACCAAACGATATTAGGCAGGTGGTTTTAATGACTACTAACAATTAGAAGGAAGATCAGTGATAATTCATTGCTGTTTATTTACTAATAAAGAACTCTAGAGCAGGGGCGTACCTAGAGCATTTGGCACCCGGGGCGGATCCTGTGCTTGGCACCCCCCCCCCCTCCCCCCCCCAAAAAAAAACAAACCTGTAAAATTTTTTAAAGGTTCTCTTTTTTTTTCTTACAATTTGTAAAGACTCCTGTCCCAATACAAAACCCCCGCCCCTTTCTACAAAATCCCTGCAGCCCCACACACACATTTACAGGCAGACAGTCACACACACATTTACAGGCAGACAGTCACACACTCAGTTACAGGCAGACAGTCACATACAGTCACAGGCAGACAGTCACACATACACATTTCCTCCGTGCGGCCAGTTTATCAGCTGTTTGTTTGTGTGAGCTGTACTGGCCGTACAGCACCCTAACTACCATGGGACACTGTGCGGCCACAGCTCACACAGCCCCCTCCAGCCAGGGCCGGTGCAAGGATTTTTGCCGCCCTAGGCAAAAGTAAAGTTTGCCGCCGCCCCCCATGTGACATCACAATGCCCCACCCATATGATTTGCCATGTTATCTAACGCCAGTGCTGCAGTGCCGCTGTGTTTACATTAAAAGGCCTGCAGGGACAGGCTATAGACACCAGAACCACTACATTAAGCTGCAGTGGTTCTTGGGACTATAGTGTTTCTTTAATGTGAGGTAAATTAGAGCTTAGTGCCACGAATAATATACTAGATTGCCTACTTACAACCAGATGAGGATGATGATGAGCTCTAGCTGCAGTCTAGCTCCACTGGTCTGGTGCAGAACAGGCTCTCTGGAGGCGGTTTGTAACTGTGGTCACAAAAATCAATGTTCTGGGAGAACGGGAAGCAGCTCCATTTTTTGGGGGTCCTTTACACAGCTCAAGGTCTGGGTCCCAGGGTCCACCTTCATGTTCCACCAATGAGTTTGTTCACAGGGGGTGGAGTGTGTAGGGGATGTCCTGATATGTGTGTAAGGAATGCAGTGTGAAATTGTGTTTGTATGTGTAAGGGCTGCAAGGTGTGTTTCTGTGTATGTATGGGATGCATTGAATGTGTGTAAGGGGTGCATTGAGTGTGTGTAATGAATGCATTGTGTGTTTCTGTGTGTGTAAGGGATGTATTGTGTGTAACGGTTGCATTGCTTGTGTATGTGTGTCTGTGTGTGTAATGCATTGTGTTTTTCTTTGTGCAAGTGGTGCATTGTGTGTATGTGATGAATGTCAATCTCTCCTCCCGCTCCAATTTCCTTCTCCTCCTCCCAATTTCTCTTTCTCACCCCCCTCCTAATTTCTCTTTCCCCCCTCCTAATTTCTCTACCCCCTCCTAATTCTTAATTCTCTCTCTCCCCTCCTAATTTCTCTTTCCCCCCTCCTAATATCTCTCCCTCCCTCCTAATATCTCTCCCTCCCTCCTAATTTCTCTTCCCCCTCCTAATTTCTCTCTCACCCCCTCTCTCCTTTCTCACCCCCCTCCTTTCTCTTTCTCTCCCCCCCTCCTTTCTCTTCTCACCCCCCCTTTCTCCTTCTCACCCCCCTTTCTCCTCTTTCTCACCCTCCCTTCTCACCCTCCCTTTCTCCTCTTTCTCACCCCCTCTTTCTCCTTTTTCACCCC